ACCAGTGGTACATGTGGGTGGCATTGAATTAAAATGAAGTATTTTGGGCAAGTGGTTTAGGGTCCAGTCACACCAAAAATGAAATAATTTTGAAGAAAAAGAAATCTAAAGAGCCAGGTCTCTCAGTTTGATGCTTTATTGCTCACCATACGATACTGGAACAGACACACAGTTTCTCACAATAAAGCACATAATACTGTACTTTATTAAAAAAGAGTGTTTGCCCCACAAGGACACAATGATTAATTCCCAAAATAATGAAATAAGTCAGCATACAACTTTCTAAAGCTGATAGAAGGAAGCCAAAACATTCCAAGGCATGTCGTAAGCAACATGCAAGTCAACACTATTGTCACAGTAGTCCTAAGCAAATCACATGTTTCCCAGTTTCATGTTTAATGTCGAAGTTTGGGTTCATGAAGGGCCTAGGTCCCTGAGCTAGCTCTTATCTCTATGTGTAGCATAATTGGATAAATCCAGAGTCATTTAGTACTCCTGAATAATATACACATATTTAAATATTTTTAAGTATATGATGATAATGTAATATAGAAAAAAGATAAATATATACACATATATTTTTCACTTGGACAATTAGGACTATAAGAATACTTTTAGAATTATAACATAAGACTGTATTTTCTAGATAATCAATGAATTCACAAAGTTTAGAAAACAGACATAGCAGATTTATATACATTTCTACTTTATATTCTTTTGCATGGGTGAACATTTTCTCACCAAATATAAGCACAGGTTGGTCCCTTACTTCCTTTATCTTTTTTTTTTCCCCTTTTTTGGACTAGCTGCCTTCCTTAATCAATCCCTGATGAATTGTATTTGCTTTGGATACACATTCTTAATATCAAGAGCCTTGCTTTAAGATTTATTTATGTCTCCTTTCCTTTACTCATCTTATTTTTTCTCACATGGATCATCTTTTCTTTAACTATCTAAATCAAATCTATCCTTGAATGACTTCAAGCCCTATGGATGCCCCCTTTCCTCTGAAGAGCTCAGCTGTGCGTAGTCTGAAATCACACAATTTGGCTCTCAATTATGTATTCTTTTTTCTTCTGGCATGTTTCTGTGTTAATACATTGTCACTAAATTGTAATCTCCTTGAAAGCAGAGAAAATGTTTTAGTCTTCCTTTTTCTCATTATTAAAGTAGATGGGTGGACATGAGAGTACCACTGAAATTGCCATGCATGTTACATACATAGGGATTGTTCTGACCATCATCTGGCACACTTCATGCAGTGCCTTTCAATGAGCCAGGAGAACTATTTAAAACATAAAACAAGCACAATGAGTTATCTGATTGTGAAGATATATCTGTAGTCAAATTAGATATTATTAATACCCAATTTAGAATATATTTCTGAATTTGGGATTGATTTACTCATTCATTTTACAGATATTTAGGGACATCATCCAACAGATAATAAATAATTAACTAAAAAGTAGTTTAGATAATTTGTGAAATACAAAGATGAAATAGACTTACCCTCAAGGATTTTTCCATTTAGTTGCTTAGTAAGAATTACGTGAGCTTGAAGGCTCTGAGGGCCCTGAACTCAGTGGTTTTTAAGGTATGCTCAGAAGACTATAGGCATCAAAATTATCTAATAAATGAGAATTTATTAGGGCAAGACCAAAAGAAAGTGCATTTTAAGATAAGCTCCCAGGTAACTCTTATGTATATGAAAGCAGAAATGTTTTATTATTCTTGGCTAAGGATTAAATATTTGGCCTCCTTACTAGGGCATCTTGTGCCGTTTCAGGAATATTATGTTCCTATGGACTTCTGAATTCAGATCTCTGGTTAGATGGAGACTTATTCTGCTATCTTGTATTTATTTCTTTTTTTCTGAAAAGTCACCATTTTTGTCAATATCAGTCACAGCATTTTTTAGGAAGCTCATACTATCTCTTGTTTGGAAGTCAGAGAACAACCTAATGCACAAGAATTAAGTTCATTATTCTGTGAGGAATGAACTAAGCACTTACAGGTACTGCTTCGGGGCTCAGATACACTGAAGGAGCTACAGCTGACTCCACTGTTTATCCTGCCTTTTTAACTTTTATAATTTATGAAGTACTTTTATTTCCATTATTCCAGTTGAGAGTGTGTAGCATGGACTTAACCCAGGTGCTTCTCCATTGAGGCCAGGCAGGAAAGCAGTGTGAATTCACTGTTTATTGGCCATTAAAACTATCCTTTGTTACCTTGCTGGATCCAGATTTGAACATTTGGGACAATGTACTGTCCTAGCTGTACTCCTTCATTTAGCTCTTTTTATTTTTCCAGATGTCATTTCTAAAATGTGAATTAATAACCTTATATTGGCTTTGTCATGAATGTGCTTGCTGTAGAAGAATGTAAATAGGCCCAATGATATTGTACACAAACACTCATGATCCCTTTTGTCAAAAGAGATTACAATAGTTACTCCTTCTACACAGTTTGGTTTGGTTTTCTGCAGTTTCAGTTACCTGCAGTCAACCTCTACACAAAAATATTACATGTAAAGTTCCAGAAATAAACAATGTATACGTTTTAAATTGAGAGACATTCTGAATGGCATGATAAAATCTTGTGCCTTGCAGCACCATCCCACTCAAAACGTGAATCCTCTCTTTGTCCAGTGTATTCATGCTGTGCACGCAGGCTGCCTGCTGCTAGTCATTTAGTAGCCATTTTGGTTATCAGATCAAAAAAACAGTATATACAGAGTTTGGTACTATCCACAGTTTGAGGCATCCATTAGGGGTCTTGGAATGGATCCCCAGAGGATATGGAGGACTACTGTATTTGAATATTAGAAGCAGAATCCTGTAGATTTAGTTTATGTCAGCATTGTCATCATTTGGTACTAACCATGTCAGTGACAAAATTGTTCTCTAATGTGCAACCCCTGTAAATGAGGTTTGCTGCTGAGTGATGAGATTATACTAATAGGCTGAACATATCAGAAAAATAGTACAAGGTCTTAGCTGACCTTAGTTTCCTGTGTAATCAGTGAAGAATTAAGTTAACAGATACTTCTAATTAGAGTCCATAAAGTAGAATGAGAATATGTAAAATTGATCATTATATTAAAAGTCATCTTATGAGATTTCCAATGGACCGTTAACAAATGCTTCTTTAAAATCATATTTCTGACATCTCAGATATGTATTCTAAATATTGCCAAATGGTTATATCTTGAGGTGATGTCATGTTGGTCTTGTTTTTCTTGTACGATTATGAGCTTCATAAGAATGAGAAGAGCCTTTTGTCTGCTGAAACAAATTTCTGCAGCAATTTTGCACATATTGAGTGTTCTTTGATTAGTTTCTGACAGAAATCTCTAAAATGCCAAACTTGTACTTTGTTCTGTGAGGGAAAGAGCCATATTAAACTTCTCAACTCTATACATGATCCCTCGCATGTAAATGAGGACATAAATAGAACTCTATTTTAAGACATCAGTTTTTCAATGTTTAAAAGTGATTTCATGAAAATGAAAGTTTGCAAAACAACCACATATTTTTATACATAAATACATTTGAAAGAACACTTGTACTTAAGATATTTCATGTCCAGGTTTAGTCTTGAATGAACTTAGATGAATCTTTCTGCTACGAGGAAAATGATGATTGTGGAGTGATGAGAGTTTGATGGGGAAGAGAGAAGAGAGAGAGAAAAATACTTATGACCACCGAGCTCTGTAAGATTTCTTCGTGTGTATTATTCTGAAAGCTTATGTTCATTCAATCAGATCTTGGTTTTGATGGCTGTTTATTGTAGACAGCTATGCTTGCATAGGAAATAAATTGCTGGGGATATTCATGTTTACTGAGTGACTTAAAACATTTGAAAACATTTTTTCTTGACTTTGGAACTGACTAGTGTACAATAATTCACATTGAGTTTCCCTATTTCATACACAAATATTCCAACCCCTGTTTTAATTGCAATTGAGAAGTAAACATATTAAATATAATATTTATAGAATTCAAAGATTGATGGGTTAACCACATAAAATCTGTTCCTTCAGAAAGTTGTTCTCTTTTTATCATGTTTAGAGATTTAGCATAGTTTAAAAGGATATAAACTCTTTTATTCTTTAAAAGCCAGCCAAAACTATGTTGACCCAGCTTTTACTAAGACATATTGTTCTTATTATTCCAACATAGTCTTCTGAAAATAAAACATTTCAGATATCCATTAAGACTTAGTTGCACTACACTAAGTTTTATGGCTGTGGCTTTTCCTTTGATATTATAAGTTGTTTAGCTAAATCAGCCATTTATTTCTGTGTATTATCAAGGTTTATTGTTCTGTACACTGAATTTGTTTAAGAATGGCTATAGAGTCCAGACTTGTCTTATTTTTCTTCAGCATTTAGAATATCTGCCTTGTTTGTTAAGGTCTAGAAATAGACCCACAGCCCTTAAGTCCTGAAAGTGAATTTATGTTTGTTCATTTTATTCATGATTGGTGCCCTTTACCCAATTATCTCAAGTGTAAGATCTAACCAATAACACTCAGCAATTAATGAAATTGGAAGTAATAAAATAAAACAGGGAATTTTTATTAAGGAAGGCTCTTAATAACATTACTTCATTTCACCAGCAAATTTTAATCTAGCTCTTTGTTTCTCATTTGGTGGTATATTAAGTTTTGATTATGGAAATATTTCATAATTGAGTATAGTGTGATAAAGAATATTTTAAAAAGTTATGTCTCTTCTGGATAAATTCAAATATTTATTGGATGTTACATAGGAACATTTAATTTTATAATGGCATTTGCTTTAGAGTTAAAACACTATGAACTGAGTTCTTATGAATTTCCCATGTGCTCTAAAACTAATAGATTATTGGCAAATAACTTTTTAAAAATTAAAGTAGAAGAAGTCAGTCCATACATTAAATATCCAAAAATGAGAAGAGCATCTTTGTATTCTATGTATATCGTGTTAAATTAATTGTATTTTTTAACACCTGATATAATCATTCTGCAAAATCCATAAATTTTTATCAGTTAGGAATTAGGTTACAGGAAAACTGGTCTTACCATCAGAGAAATCACAGCTGTAGTGAAATTGTGATGAAGATAATGTTGATTGACTCTACCCGCATACCTGGGACATAGTAGGTGCTCAATCATATTAGTTTCTTTCTGTAATGAAAAAAATCTCATATATTCCAATCCCTTTTTCTCTAGTTTATGAACATGTGGGTATGTGTTTATAAACACACATATGCTTGTGTGATTTGGGGTTGGGTCACTCTGATGCTCTATACAATGCCAAGATTAATATTTATACCGGAATGAAAAGTCAGTTGACGTAGATTGCTTACTGTCATGCAGGTAGAATTTTAGGGTATTTTCTGCAAATATTGGCTTTCATTTGTTTACTACTATAGCAACAGGATAAAAATGTCTTGGTGGAGTAGATGAAGACAATTTTCAAAAAAGCATATTCTAGAATGAGGTTCTGGATAGTAGAGTCTCCATGAAACAGCATTTAAAAACAAGTTTTGAAAGTAGAATGGCATATTCTTCATTAAGAAGGTGGGTAGTCCTAATTATCATTAGCAACTAGGTTCTAGAAAAGTCCATAAAATAGGGATATAGACTGGAGAGGGAAAATGCCAGGCTATGGGGCATGTAAACGTATGGGTACTTTTTGATCATCCAGTCATTAAAAATCAGTGACTACCAAACCATTACCAAGGGCAATTTACACCCTTGAAGATTCTGGTTGGCCAAATCTCAGTAGGTAAGAGATTCAGGTAGGAAATGATAAATGCCCTGGACAGATTCATTCACAAATCTCTAATAATCACTGCATTAGCAGATCTCAGTCATAAATATAAAAGTGAGAAACTGATAATATGATGAAATCAGTTTTAACTCTACTGAAAATAAAGCCAACAGAATTTTGCATTGCTTTGATTGAGAATCTGTAAACAAAATATCAATAACATTTGAGAAAAAAACAAAAAAAAAAGAACCTACAAATGACAAGCAGTTAGGAAGAAAAGACCATTGCAACCAAGGTAAAAATCCATAGACTACAATTCTCAGTGGGAAGTCTTCATCTGGAATGGGGATACCAGGATTTTGGCTGATTTAGAGTAACAATGAAGCTTTTACAAATGTTTCAGACTTTTAAGCTAGATTTTGCTTGAAGGATGGCTCAATAGTTTATAAACAAAAACGTCCAAAAAGATTTTCTTGCTTAAAAACTTCAAAGAAGAAGCAAAACGTTATTATAAATACTTGCTTTTGTCTTGGCTGTACTTTTCAAAATTAATCATATGTTAGTTTGTATCTTCACAGTTATTTAATCCGGGTTTTTACCTTGTTCCGTCTATCATGTAGGAGGCTGGAAGAGTTGATAAGAGTTGGATTTATCTTAAAATCTACATTTCTTCTTAATTAAGAATTTTGGATACTTTGAGGTTTATTTTACGTTAAAGTTAAGTGATGGTTATCTGCCTTCTAAGATAAAAAAATCATCTCAGAATTTTATAAACATTATGACAGTTTTTAAAATACAGTGAACATGTATGTCTAAAATCTTATTTTTACTCAATATATAAAATGTTTTCTATAATATTTTTCCTTTTAATTTCAGATATACACGAGCTAGCACTGTACTATGTTAAAAGGAAATACTAACTGCAAACATTTAAAAATCTGCATGTTGTCAAATTATTGAACGTATAAATAACTTAGGGGGTTGAAAAGTGACATTTGATAAGGTTATTATGAATAAGGTAAATTGCAATCTAGATTTCACTGAAACTCTATAAGCCCAGAAAATATAATAAATTTCTTAAGTTAAACGAAAAGGGCTAAACTTTCACTTTTTAATCATTTAGCTATTTCACAGATCGACTTCATTTTTTTGTGATACTAGTTTGAAAGAAGGAAAGTCTGAATCATCCTTCTTAAAGTTTCTAGGGTCAGGACTTGTTAGAACATTGACAAAGACTGATCTGCTCTGTCTTCACATACAAGTATTGGCCATATTCTCCCTTTTGTTGATTACTGCACAGATTCTCATTTTCTCTGTGGTTTGTTTTCCCCTAATTCATGAATCAACTTTGGCTAAAGGATACCTCCGAAGCCAAGCAGGTGTCATCAAAAGATACTTTTGTGGCAGACAGGTAAGTGTCAGTGACAGTGATGTCATCAAGCTCTGTGCTGAAATGGTCTGACTCCTTGATGACACTGTAATTTAGGGCCACAGTGTAGTTAGCAGGTTTCTCTGTTAGTTTCTGCTTGCAGTTGCAGAGCTTTCTGAAGGCTGCACGGAATTTCTGGGACATGAGGTTGTAAATCACTGGGTTGATGGCACTGTTGAGATAAATGCAAATTCTGCAAAAGAGCAGGAACCAATTTTCTTGGAAAGGAGTGGAGAGAAATGAGTTGACAACCACAAGAGTCCTGTAGGGCATCCATAGAAGGGCAAACAGAATTACAACCACTGCCAGCATCTTGGTAACCTAAGGAGAAATAGAGAGAAATGCTGTACAAACACAAATGAAAACAAAACAAAACACCCTTTCTTCTCTCACCCAAACCTTTAGTTCCCAAAATGTGGTCTGAGACAAGGACTTAGGTGCAGGTCATTTACTGGGGAAATAATCCTAGGAAGCAGGATTAAGGATTATTCATTAGAACAGAATGCAATAGACAAGGAAAAGCCAAAGTAGGGTGTGCTATTGAGATAGCTCCCCCTATGGCCAACTCTGACTCAAATAATGCAATTGAGAATTATCTGCCAGAAGGAAGAGAGTGGATGCTGGTGTCCATTCATTAAAGGGTGTTGTGAAGGACTTTAACTCCTCTGTACTTACAGAATTCTCTTGCCTGAAAACTCCTAGGGCCTTTAGAGAGGAACTTAAGGCCAAGAAGAGGATAGACAAATGGTACAGTGGAGGCCTGGAGTGAGATGTTTCCAGCTGCACGAACCATCTACTGCAGCTGTGGCTGAAATCAGAGTCTCGTAAGAGGATGTTAGCACAGGGCGCCAAAAGTGTCTGTGACAAGCATTAGGAGATTTGGAGTCAAATCCCTTCTTTACTTACCCTATGCGTGGCCTAAGAAATTTTCTTAACCTATCTTATGGCTCATCTGTAAAATGGAGCCAAGAATGCCCTCCTAAATTGAATGAGGTAACAGTGGATGAAAAGAATAATGCAAAAATGTCAGTGTTTATTGAATGCCTGCTATATGCTAGACACTATCCAAGGTGTTTGATATCTGTTATCATGTTTAAAACCTCCTAAAATAGGTTTTGTACCCACTACTTTTTCAAATTATAAAACAAGTACAGAGGCTGTTAAGTACTTTGCTGGAAGCTGTAGAGTCTCGGGCCAGGGTTAGTGAGTGAGCTTAAATTCAAAGCTTTTGCACTCTTTTAGGTTAAAGGGAAGTGAAAGAGAGAGAAAGCAAATGCTGGAATTCTACCTAACGCTGAAGCCACTCCTAAGTATAAGCACTGCACAAGAAGTTAGACAATAGGTAGGATGAGGTTAATATCCCACATTGCTCACTGCTCACTGGGCTTCATTCTGACTCAATGCAGGTAGGATGCTAATGCTCCCTATTTTGCCACTGGGAGTAGAAACGTTGTTCAGTGAGATTTCACATTGGTTCATATACTACCAAGTAAGACATTCCAGAGATTCTGACTTCTTATAGAGTCAAGAAGGGTCTACTTAGCAAAGGGGTTAACTGAAATGTGATTTTTCCTAAGTGCACTTTTAAAACTGTGTAAGTAAGTATTTTAATTGGTCATAGGAAATCAAAGTGATAAATGTTCTAAGCTTTTGGAGGAGATGCAGTGATTATCATCTTCATTGTCATCATCAACCACATCCCTGCCTTTATTCTCTGCTTGGTACTCCAGACTCTGAAATCAGATCACTGCTTCACACTTGTCAGCATTCTCCCACTCCCTGTCAGGCGTAAAGCATCCTACATTGAAATACCTAGTTTAGTATACAATTAGATCTCTACCATCACATTTTAGTCCTTTAAGATGGCACAGGTAATCTGAAAAGTGCTATATAAATGTTATCTTATTTAATGCTTATAGTAACTCCACGAGTAAGCTAGTATTCATTTCATTATGCATATGAATAAATTAAAGTTTAGGTAATTTATATGATTTGTCTACAGACACATGAGTAGTAAGTGACAGAGCTGTGATTCAAACCTATGTACTTAAGACAAAGTCATGCTCCTTTCTTTATACTTTGCCCTTTCTATGAAAGTTTCTTGCATTTTTGTTAACATTTCTACTGTATTATTTTCATTATGATCACCAAAACACTTAACTTCTTCAATGTACAAACCAAACGACAATTACTGCTGCTAAATTTCAGAAGAAAGGTTGAATTTCATCTACTTTTATCTTTCCCTACAACTGTCAGGTGAAACACTGAATCCACATTGAATCCACATGTAACATGTACCTACCTCTTTTCACTGAATGTCAGTGAAGGGAGCAACTTAGATTGTGTGGAGAAGAGCAACCTGTTCCAAGGTTAGCATCTCTCCTGTGTATTTCCACAGCGCCTCCAGGCATACTTTGACATCATTCCCAAAGATTTCATTGCAGTGACCTATACTTGTTTATCTCTCCAATAAATAGTAAACTTCTTCACAGTGTGGGTAAATTTACTCATTTCTCTACTCTCAGGGATTTAGGGCACTATGTAATGTAAAGTGGCCCTAAGAAAAACTTTAATAAATTCAGGCATGGAAGGAATTGTTTAAAAATATGTAAATCTGATCATTTACTGTGCTTCAATGCTCTGCTATATTGTTATAGGGTTTTGCAAGAATATATTATTTAACATTTTAAACACTCTCATAAATGGAGATTAGGTCAATTAGTAAAATGAGTCCTTAATACATTTCAATTTTTTTGTTTAAAGTGTATTTGTAAAATGTTAAGGAGATGTGAAAAGAAAAAAATATAATACTGTTTCTAGGATTTACCCAGAAAAACTATACCTCCAGTGAGATGAAAGAGAGTACGTTTAATTCTGCCCATACTTATTTTTAGTTAATTTCAAATTTTTGATTTAGTTTAATCAATTTTTTAAATGTTCACAAGTTTTTACTTTAGCTATAGTTTGGATTTTAACAGCTCATACTCAGTGTAAGAACAAACACCTAGAAAAGAAATGTCATCAAGATTGTCTTTTATACTCAGGTAATTTCACTGTGGTTTTAAAAATTTTATTTCTGCTATTATTCCTTATCCTGAAAACGTGACATAAATGTAGATTTGAAACACATCTTAAAAACCTCATTGTTTTGAAATATTTACGTTTCTGCCAGAGTAGCAGATAGGGTGTATGGTGATATGAAAGATGGCTTCTTTACACCAGCCTCTGCCCTAAGATTTAAACATTCTTGAGAAATAGCATGACGCAATCTTTGAGTGAAAATGATCTTACAATATACTTTTGATTGGGAATGATTCTATCCATTCATTCTAAGTTATGTATTTGCATCCCTACTGTGTATCAATCAATGTTCTGGCTCTCAATGATTTGACAGTGATCCAGAGAGACATGACAATGCCTTCATGTACCTTAAATCTGATGAACAATTATAATACAATGTGACAACTGCTCAGACAGAGGAATGTTTTGGTTCTAAGGGAACCCTCGATATAAACTTGGGGTTGAGAGGTTGTTAGCAGGGGCTTCCTTGTCCAAGTGACATCTAAGTCAAAATCCTAAGATAAAGAGGGATGAGAAGACTGTTCTTGCAGAGATTAAGTGTGTGTGACAATCTGAAAGCATAACAGTGGGCATATGATGGGACTAGAAGTAATTTAGTATGCAGATTTCAATTGCAGACCATGTAATGTAGTGGCACTATCTCTTTCTTTAGCAATCTTGTGGAAACCACTACAAAGCCATTACTTTTATATGATGAGGTGATGTCACACTCTGTGGAGCACCTGGCTTCCATTCCTTCTGCTTTCCCTACAGAAAGAGATACAGCTGCCAAAAGGGGTACAGGTATATTGAGTTCTGAAAATGTCAGCTCTGTGGAGTCATTTTAGTCAACATAAAAGCAGGCAGCCACTTTTGCAGAGTGTATTGAAGGCAAGCAAAGGAGATTGCAAAAATAAATAAATTAAAATTTAGTATTTAGAGAGTGAGCTTCCTGGCAGAGACAGTTGGGAAGGGCAGATGAGAACAGGAGGGTCTAGGCTTGATGGCTTCTGTTCTTGGCCACTCTGGCTAAGCGTTACCTTCTTTGTGAGGATCAGCTGGTAATTTTGGTATCAAATTCTGCTATATATCTTTTAGTCTTCACTGTATTTAATATGTAAAATAAGCAGCATAAACCTCTTACAAAAGTTGGAGTTCAGTCCTTCTCAAAACCCCCTTTTGTCATCTTTATAAGGCCTCTAGATAAAGATCCTATTCAGGCAGTTATCTTTTATAAGTGTGCATTGGACAGATTTCTGTCTTATTGCTAAAATGAAGATTATAGTTCCTCAAGTGGGCTGTATATGCAGTTCAACCCTGTGTATATCTGCTGCATGGAAGAAACAGGCTAACTGGGTTCCCTCTTCTAACATGCTTATGAATCTTCTATTACTAATTACTATCACTGTAACTACTGCTATGACTCTTACTACAAGTTCTGAAACTATTAGCTAACATTAGTATATTGCCTTTTTGTTTTAGAAAGGTATTAGATTTATAGAAGTGTTGTAAACATAATGCAGAGAGTTGCTATATACCCCACACCAAAGTCCTTCTATTATTCACCTTTTGCATCAGTATGGCAGATTAGTCACAATTAATGAATCTATGCCAATAATTTTTATATGGAGTTCATTAGCTCCATGCTTGATTCAGATTTCCTTACCTTTTATCCAAAGTTTCTTTCCTGTTCCAGGATCCCATCCAGAATACCATATTATCTTTAGTTGTCACAGCACCTTAGGTTCCTCTGGGCTGGAACAGTTTCTCTAACTTTCCTTGTTTTGATGGTCTTGATAATTTTGAGGAATACATGAGGTATTGTATAGAATGCACTTTAATTTGAGGTTGGCTGATATTTTTCTCATGGTGAGACTGGGGTTATGAATTTTTGAGACGAAGGCCACAGGAGTGACATGCCATTCTTGAACCTGCTCCAAACAGGTTTGCCAGAATGGGAGAAGATGTGAAGATAGCTATAGTAAACATATCTTTTGAGAATTTTACTGGAAGAGGACAATTAGGGAAACTGTTCTAGAATAGTGAATAGTCCAGTGCACAGTGTGGGGTTGTTCTCATCTCAAACATATCTACAAAATTATTTTTTAAATATCTGCCTCTTCTTTATTTCTTAGTCACACATTTAAGAGATCAACATAATGCATGAAAAAAATGTGACCTTTTTCATCAATGATCCAAATCCTGAGTGGAGTTCTGATAGCAGTTAATTGTTGAATTTTTAAAAATTAACAGTTCTTTTA